GAAAAAAATTCACGCAAGAATTGTACACATAAGTTCCCCCCCCCCCCCAAAACCGGAACCCAGATCTTGAAAATATATTGAGCCTTATATATGTAAATCCAGCCCCCGGGGGGATCACAAAAAAAGGAGTTAGAAAAAAAGGCGGTAACCAAATACACAGGCCAGTCGAGGCAGGAGACAACACACATAATATTTACTGAGGTACCGATTTTGAAGCCAGCGGCGGACAAGGGGGGAGTCAAAGGGTGCACGCATTCTTCCTTGTTTATTGACATTTATTTCATTGAGACGCACGATCCCCCCCCCCCCTGCCGCAGAGTAGGAAGATTTGGACAGTTTATGGAGGGGGGGGTGGGGGGGGGGGGGTACGTCAGGTCCACCCATGCCCTCCTTCCTGTTTGTTAACATCCACGTCGGGGATACACGCCATCCACTCCACGACCAAAAACCCTACACCCCCCCTCTCCCCTGCATACCCCTGAGTCCCCGGTCAAGCCTCCACGCCGCAGAGAAAAAAAAAAACAAAAATCCTGCACGCCTTCTGATCTGTCAAAAAAGGAAAGTGCAGCCCGTCCGCTTGCAAGGCCCCGGGCCAGTAGAACTGCCCTGATGACACAACAATACACAGGATGACGACGCCACTTGGGCGTTGTATAGTCGGGGGGGGGGGGGGGGGCGGGGAAGACTCCGGGGGGAAAAACCCCCTTTCCCAGGGGGTTTGGAAACCCCCAATTTTTTCGGCCCTTTTAAAGGGGGTTGGGAACCCGCGACTTTTTTTTTGAACGCGGACAAACCGGCCAAGAAAAACCTTCCCAAAACCAAACGTAAAGGAGTTTGGAACTCCCCCCACAAAAGGGTTTTGTTTTACCCCCCCTTCTGGCCCCCCCCCAAAAAAGTCCCGGTGCAAAAGCCGCCAAAAGGGGTCCTTGGGAAACCCCCCATCCCGGCCTTTCCTCCCGAAAGGGGGGAAACTCACCAGGGAAAACCACCAAAGTTTTCCTTTGAAAAAAAAAAAAAAAAAAAAAAA